GCGGCGGCAAGAGCACGTTCATCCGGTCGTCGCTGCTGCCGCGGCTCCACAAGGCCGGGCGGCGCGCGGCGTTGCTCCAGCACAAGTTCGCCCAGGAGTTCGGCCTGTCCTGGGGGAGCGACGAGTGGGACGACGCGAGCCGGCCCGTCGCGTTCGCGTCGGTCTTCGATTTCGGCTCGGGGTGCGTCTGCTGCTCGCCGCGCGGCGACGTCGAGCGCGCGGTCCGGGGCTTCCTGGAGGAGGCGGGCAAGGCCAAGGTCGCCCTGGACACGCTCGTGCTCGAGACGACGGGCGTCGCCGACGTGCCGCTCTTCGAGGGCGTGTGCCGCCGCGCGTTCGGCCGGAGGGGCGCGGTGGTGGTGGTCGCGGACGGGGCCGACCCGCCGGCGGGGCTCGAGAACATCTCCCGGGCCCAGCGCGACCTGGCCCAGGTCGTCTATTGCACGGGCAAAGCGGGCCCGTTCTACGGAAGCCGGGACGTCGCGGCGACGGCCGACGAAGCCGTCGACGCGACGCTGGTCGCTTTAAAACGCGCGGACCCGAAACGAAAAGAGACGAAGCCGCCCAAGGAGCGCGACATGGAGGCCGTGCTCGTCGACCCGGCGCCGCGGGGGACCCACGACGCCAAGTGCCGGTCCTGCGTCGTCCTCGTCGACGCGCCGCTCGACGGGAAAAAGGTCGAAACGTACCTGAAAGAGCTCGAGAAGGACCCCCTGGTCTACCGGGCCAAGGTCGCCTGCCGCACCTTCGAGGGCGAGCCCCACACGGCCGTCTTCGGCGAGCTCTCGCGGCCCTTCGGGCGGGGCGTGTCCCGGAAGAAGCTCCGGCACCGGAACACGCCCCTGGGCGACTTCGAGATCCGGGACCCGTCGCGGCTCTTCGTGCTGCTGCGGAACGACGCCCAGGCGACGGCGTCGAGCCTCGAGGCGCGCCTCAAGAACTGCGCCGCGCCCGACGGCTACGGCTGGATGGCCGACGAGGAGCTCGACTTCCGCAACGGCGCGCGCGTCGCGTCCGCGACCCATCCCAAAAGCGGCGCGAAGCTCGCGGTCTTCTTCCGCTACTACACGGAGACGTTCTACGCGCGGCTCGCGGCCTGCCCCCACGGGCCGGGCTGCGACCTCGCCAAAGCGACGGTGCTCGAGGACCTCGACGAGGCGACGGGGGAATTGAAGACGTGGCGCTGCGTCTGCGAAAAACACAAAAAGGAGATCCCCATCAAACAGAACGACGGCAGCTGCGTGCCCGTCCACGTCGGCGAGGACGGCGCCATCTACGCCAAGCTCTCGGGCCCCGAGGTTCGACCCGAGCCGAAGATGCCCGAGTTCCGGGTGTTCAACTGGGCGGGCGTCACCGTCGACGAGGACAAGGACGGGCCCCAGCCGCCCGGCTACGACCCCTTCGGCCGGCGGGGGCCGGGCGTCGAGGGCCGGGGCAAGCGGTGCTACGACGCCTACGTCGCCGCGCGCGACGCGGGCCGCGACATGATGGAGGCCGTCGCGGACATCGAGGCGCTCGGCTTCGGCGACGAGCTCAAGCGGGATGGCGCGCCGGAGCCGGAGCCGGAGCCCTGGAAGGAGCCGGAGCTCGAGCTCGAGGACGGCGCCCCGCAGCCGACGCTCGAGGAGATCTGCACGGCCATCGAGATGGCCCGCGCGGGCGCCACGGAGGCGGACGTCCGCGCGGCCATCGACCGCATGCGCGCCGGGGACCCGGGGCCGAGCCCGGCGCCCGCGCCGCCGAGCCCGCCCGCGCCGAGCCCGCCGCCCGCGCCGCCGGCCGAGAAGGCGCCCGCGAAGGGCAACCGGCGGCCCCGGAAGGCGTCGCCGCCGCCGCCGCCGCCGGCCGAGGAGCGCGCGCGCGACGACGACGACGACGTCATGCCGGAGGAGCCCGTCGCGCCGGCGCCGGAGCCCGAGGCCGCGCCGGAGCCCGAGGCCATCGCGCCGGCGCCGGAGCCCGACGAGGAGACGCTCACCGTGGCTCAGGTCAACAAGATGACCGTCGTTTTGCTGAAGAAGGAGCTCGACGCGCGGGGCCTCTCGAAAAAGGGCCTCAAGGCCGAGCTGAAGCAGCGGCTCCTCGACGCGATCCGCTAAGGGCGGTTGTTAGCGCGCGAGCCGCCGGAGGGCCCGGAGCGAGAGGAGCGCCGCGAGCGCGGGCGCGAGCGCGCCGTCGGACTCCGGGCGCGCGGGCGCGGCCGCCTCCCAGGCGACGCCGTCGTCGTCGCCCCGCGCGTCATCGTCGTCGATGCGCGACGCGTCGAGGAGCAGGGCGCACAGGAGGAGCGCGTTGCAGAGCAGCGACAGGAGCAGCAGCAGGGAGCCCTTTCCGGCTTTCGGAGGAGGCGCGACGTCGGCCTTGAGAGGCACGGCGACGGCCGCGTCCGCGACGACGATGGTCTCCGTCGCGACCGCGCGCGTCGACGCGGCCTCGCTTCGAGGCGCCGCGGCGGCTCGCGGGGCGCGTTCCGCGGCGCCGTCGTCGCCGAGCGATCGGCGCCGCGGCTCCGAGGCGCCGCGCCGTCGCTCCGAGGCGTCGTCGTCGTACGGAGCGCGGCGCCTTGGCTCCGACGAGGCGACGCGCCGTCTTGGCTCCGACGAGGCGACGGGCCGCCTTGGCTCCGACGAGGCGACGGGCCGTCTCGGCTCCGACGAGGCGACGGGCCGCCTCGGCTCCGACGAGGCGACGCGCCGCGGCGCCTCGGCGCGCGGCGGCGTCTCGCGAGCCGCTGGCGCTGTCCTCGGCGGGTCCCGGCGCGCGGCCCGAGGCGTCGCGCGCCGTCCGCGTGTTGGCAGAACCCCGTCCTGCCACTGTCGCGCTTCCACCCAGGGGTGCACGGGCAGCCGGGCGCGGCGCGACGGCGACCGCGGCGGGCTCGGAGCGCAATGCGCGGGCGGCGTGTGCGGCGGCGACGTGGCGCGCGCTGGCGGCGTCGAGGCGCCCGGCGGCCGCCAGATCGGCGGTGGCATCACTCATGAAAAGGGATCTTGAGAGCCATTGCCGCGCCCTTTCACGAGCTCGAGAAGGGAAATCTAAGGGAAGCGTCGACCTTGAACAGGCGAGCTCGCACACGATGGACAAATTTTAGCTTGGAATGCTGCGCGCGGCGCTCTCCCTCTGGGCCTGCGCGGCGGCAGCCGTCGACGACGGCTGGTTCGCGTCGCTGCGCTGGCCGCCGCAGCGCGAGCAGGCGGCGTTGAACAACAGTCACGCGCACCACGCTGCCCTGCTCGCCGAGCTGCGCCGGAGCCTCGGCGCCTTCGAGCCGGCGGCGTCGCGGTCCGACGCCAAGGACCTGCTGCGGCGCGCGCTGCGCGACCCGCGGCACCGCGACCACGTCGTTTTAGTGCTCGACGGGCGCATCTTCACGTCCAAGGCCTTTGCGCACGTCTCCAAAAACGCGATGCACCTCCGCATGCTCGCGGCGGCGATCCGGCGCCACGAGCCGCTCCCCAACGTCCTCATGCTCCACGACTCGGCGTCCGACGGCAACTGCCACCGCACGAAGGAGGGGCGCACCTTGGCGACGACGGTCATCGCGAAAAAGGGCGGCTACGGCCAGTGCGGCGTTTTGGTGCCCAACCCCTACTACGGCCGCGGCGACACCGCGGACGAGTGGGCCTGGTTCGTCTCCGAGCTCAAAGGCCGCGCGGCGAAGATCCCGCTGGAGCGGAAAAGGCCCGTGGCCTTCTGGCGGGGCACGCTCGGCAACCACAAGGAGCTCTGCGCGGGCGACGTCTGCACGCCGCAGAACTGCGCGCGCGACGACGGCAACTACGCGCGCTTCCAGGCCATGGCGCTGACCGTATCGCGGCCGGACGCCTTCGACGTCAAGTGCCACAAGTTCCACCCGCGGAACGCGTCCGACTGCGCGGCGGAGCTGCCGTTCACGGACGAATTCCGCGCGCTCGCGCGCGACCCGTCGCCGATCTTCGACCTGCGGTGGTTCGAGGCGAAGGACTACGCGGGCTTCAAGTATTTGCTGAATCTGCCGGGCGAGACGGCGGGGTCCTACTCGCGGAACCTGAACCATCTGTGGGCCGTCGGGTCCGCGCTGCTTTTGTCTGTGTGGAAACCAACCACTGGTTTGGGTGGTCCCCACCAAACTTGAGAACTCTCTAGCTCCGTCAAATCGAAGTCGATTCGGCTGATTTTTGGACGGATCGATTGCTCTCGTCGAGTTCTCGAAGCCCAGCCGAAGAGCTTGTGCCAAAACATTCGAATACGCTCACATTGAAGTCGGGTTGAATATTTGATTTCCACACAGGCTTTTGTGGGACGCGGGCTTCGTCGAGTGGTACTACCCCGCGCTCCGCCACGGCGCCACGCACGCGGCCGTGAACGCGTCGACGGCGCCGGGCGTCGTGGACTTTCTGGAGGCGCGGCCCTGGGCCTTCGTGAAGCTCGTCGCGGGCGCGGCGGCCGTGCAGGACGAGCTCCTGTCGCCCGCGGCGCTCTCGCGCTACGTGCGCGCCGTCGTCGACGCGCTCCGGGCCCACGGGCGCCAGCACGTCCACCTCGACGACGAGAACGCGACGGCGGAGCTCCTCCGCAAGGTCGACTGCCACGGCCTCGTCGAGACGACGGTGTGGCCCCACCGCGGCTCCAAGGACCACTGGGTCGACAACCGGCTCCGCAAGATCAAGTCCTGCGACGACCTCGTCGAGGCCGTCCGCAACTCCAACGGCCGCGGGAAGGGGGGGCGGGCGTGGGGCACGCGGCTGCCGGGGTAAGGGGACTGGGTAGAGGAGGGCACTTAGCAGGGCTGCCAGTACTTCGCTGCGAGGCCCGAGGTGCACTTCACCTGAGATTCACCGTCGGCGAGAGCTCAATCGCACAAGCCACGTTGCGCATCTCCCCCCGGATCTGTGACGAGGCCAAGACCGAGCCTCTGCGATTGTGCACCATGGGCGGCGACTTCGCGCCCTATGAGGTGCGCGCCAGCGTCGCCGCGCGCCGAGACGCCCGCGCAACCCACACACCAAACATCCTCGTAGGCGAAGATGCGCGCCGACGGCCTCGGCGACGCCGCCGTCGCGGCGTTCAAGAACAGCTACGAGGCGCTCTGCAGCGGCGCGACGGGCATGATCCCCGAGGCGGAGCTCACGCCGGCGGCGTCCGTGCCGAGCCTCGACGCCATGGCCGACCCGGGCGCCGTGGACCCCGCGCTCCTCGCCAAAACCGTCGTCCTGAAGCTCAACGGCGGCCTCGGCACGTCCATGGGCCTCGACTACGCCAAGTCGCTCCTCCTCGTCAAGGGCAAGGACACGTTCCTGGACCTCACGGCGAAGCAGATCATGGGCATGCGCGAGAAGTTGAAGAGCCAGGTCAAGTTCGTGCTCATGAACTCGTTCGCGACGTCCGAGGACACGATGGCCTTCTTCAAGGCCAAGTACCCGGCGCTCTACGCGGACCCGAACCTCGAGTTCGTCCAGAACAAGGTGCCCAAGATCGCGCGCGACACGCTCGCGCCCGCGCTCTGGCCCGCGAAGCCGTCCGTCGAGTGGTGCCCGCCGGGCCACGGCGACCTCTACGCGGCGCTCCTCGGCTCGGGCAAGCTCGACGCGTTATTGGCCGGCGGCGCCAAGTACATGTTCGTGTCCAACTCCGACAACCTCGGCGCGACGCTCGACACGAAGCTGTTGCAGTACTTTGCTTCTTCCAAATTCCCCTTCATGATGGAGTGCTGCGAGCGCACGGCCAACGACAAGAAGGGCGGCCACCTCGCCGTGCGGTCCGCCGACGGCCAGCTCATCCTCCGCGAGGCGGCCCAGTGCCCCGACGACGACGAGGCCGCCTTCCAGGACATCAACAAGCACAAGTACTTCAACACGAACAATTTGTGGATCGACCTCGAGGCGCTCAAGGCCACGATGGACGCGTCGGGCGGCCTCGTGCCCCTGCCCATGATCAAGAACAAGAAGACCGTGGACCCCAAGGACGACGCGTCGACGCCCTGCTTCCAATTGGAAACGGCCATGGGCGCGGCGATCGAGTGCTTCAAGGGCGCGGCGGCCATCGTCGTGCCCCGGACGCGCTTCGCGCCCGTGAAGAAGTGCAACGACCTGCTGACGCTGCGCTCCGACGCCTACGCGACCGTCGACGACGTGCCCGTCCTCGCGCCGGGCGTCGCCGCGGCCCCCACCGTCGACCTCGACTCGAAGAAGTACAAGCTCGTGCAGCAGCTCGAGGCGAACCTGCTCGAGGGCGGCTGCCCGTCGTTGAAGGCCTGCGCCAAGCTCGTCGTCAAGGGCGACGTGCGCCTCTCGTCGAAGAACGTCTTCGTCGGCTCCGTGACGGTGAAAAACGAGTCGGGCGAGCCCAAGACGCTGCCGCCGGGCAAGTACGAGAACACGACCGTGGATTTAAGCGCCGCGCCGGGCCTCGGCCCCATGGCCGTGACGCACCTGAAGACGAAGCCCATCGCGGGCCAGAAGCCGGGCACGTCGGGCGTCCGCAAGAAGACGGCGGTCTTCATGGAGGGCCTCTACCTCCACAACTTCGTCCAGGCGACGCTCGACGCCGTCAAGGCCTGCGGCAGCGACCTCACGTCCCAGACGCTCCTCGTCGGCGGCGACGGCCGCTACTACAACGACGTCGCGATCCAGACCATCGTCAAGATCGCCGTGGCCAACGGCGTGAAGCGCGTCTGGGTCGCCAAGGACGGCCTCGCGTCGACGCCCGCCGTCTCCGCGCTGATCCGCGAGGGCGGGCCCATGTGGAAAAAAGTCTTCGGCGCCTTCATCCTCACGGCGTCCCACAACCCGGGCGGCCCGACGGAGGACTTCGGCATCAAGTACAACTGCGAAAACGGCGGCCCCGCGCCCGAGAAGCTCACGGATTTGATCTACGCGAACACGTGCTCCATCTCCACGGTCAAGATCGCCGAGGGCGTGCCGGCCATCGACGTGTCGAAGCTCGGCGAGACCGTCGTCGAGGCGCGCGACGGCTCGTGCCGCGCGTGCGTGGAAGTCGTCGACGGCGTCTCGGCGCACCTCGACCTCCTCAAGACCATCTTCGACATGGGCGCCATCCAGGCCCTGCTCAACCGGCCCGACTTCTCCATCTGCTTCGACGCCATGCACGGCGTCACGGGGCCCTACGCGAAGGCGCTCTTCTGCGACCAGCTCGGCGTGCCCGCGTCGGCGCTCATCAACGCGGTCCCCAAGGACGACTTTGGGGGCCACCACGCGGACCCGAACCTGACCTACGCCGTGGACCTCACGAAGAAGATGGGCGTCGACAAGACGGGCGCGCCGGTGCCCGGTGGCGACGTGCCCTCGTTCGGGGCCGCGTCCGACGGCGACGGCGACCGCAACATGATCCTCGGGTCGCGCTTCTTCGTGACGCCGTCCGATTCCCTGGCGATCCTCGCGGCCCACGCCGACGTGATTCCCTTCGTGGCGAACCAGGGCGGCCTCAAGGCCGTCGCGCGGTCGATGCCGACGTCGGGCGCCGTCGACCGCGTCGCGGAAGCGCTGAATTTGGCGCTCTTCGAGACGCCGACGGGCTGGAAGTTCTTCGGCAACTTGATGGACTCGAAGGCGCTCTTCGGCGGCGTCGACTACACGCCCTTCCTCTGCGGCGAGGAGTCCTTCGGCACGGGGTCCGACCACGTCCGCGAGAAGGACGGGCTCTGGGCGGTCCTCGCGTGGCTCTCCGTGCTCGCGTCCTACAACTCCGACGCCTCGGCGCCGTTGGTGACCGTGGAGACCATCGTCAAGAAGCACTGGGCGACCTACGGCCGCAACTACTACTGCCGCTACGACTACGAGGGCGTCGACAAGGCCGAAGCCACCAAAATGATGGCCAAGATGACCGCGGACGCCGCCGCGAACACGGGCAAGGTGTGCGGCGCCTACACCATCGCGACGGCCGACGTCTTCGCCTACGAGGACCCCGTCGACGGCTCCGTGTCCAAGAACCAGGGCGTCCGCTTCCTCATGGCCGACGGCAGCCGCGTCATCTTCCGCCTCTCGGGCACCGCGGGCTCCGGCGCGACGGTGCGCCTCTACATCGAGAAGTACGTGCCCCCGTCCGGCTCCCTCCACGACGTCGTCTCCAACGTCGTCGGCGACCTCGTCGCCATCGCCCTCGACCTCAGCGACCTCGCCAAATTCACGGGCCGCGAGTCGCCCACGGTCATCACCTAGGCCGCCGACGCCGCCATACCGGCGCGCCTGGACCAGCAGGGGCCGCGCGGACCATCCCCAAGCACCCCATCCTCCCCCCCCCGCCCCCGCTAACCTGCTCTGGTTACGATGCTTCGGTCTTCCGGCGCGGCCCCCTCGCTCCGGCGGGGCGCGGCGGTCGTCCGGCCCTAGTGGGGCGCGTAGGGCAGGCTGCTGTGGTGGACGACGATCTTCAGGGAGCCGTCGGCGACCTTGGTGTACTGGAAGGTGTACTCGGCCTTGGTCACGCCGCCGCCGGCGTCCGTGAAGTAGTACTCGCCCATGGCCGTCGCGGTCTCTCCGTAGAAGATGCAGCCCTTGTTGTCCCACTCGACGGCCGTGAAGGGCGTGATCGCGAAGCCGTGGTCCTCCTTCTCGCAGCCGTTGCCCACGAAGTAGGACGCGGCCTCGGCCTCGACGAGGCGGATCGCCTTGTTCGACGCCTTGGTGGGCTTGAAGAGCACCTGGAGGCCGCTCTGGTAGCCGTACAAGTCGTCGAGCGTGTCCTGGCCCGCGGTGACGTAGTCGCCGCCGTCCGTGTAGATCTTGCCGATGGCGATGAGGCGGTCGCCCCACTCCTTCTGGGCCCGCGCGATGTCGTCGGCGGTGATCGACTTGGTGTAAGCTCGTCTCCGTCGTCGTCGTCGTCGTCGTCGTCGTCGTCGTGCCGCCGCCGCGGACGGCGAGGGCGCGGATGGCGCGCGGGCGGCGCAGGCCCTGCGCGGACGCGGCGAGGAGCGCGAGGTTGCGGAGCATCACCTGCGCGGGCGCGTCGGTCAACGGGCGCGTCGCATATGCGGACGATACGTCGAACGTGAACAAGCGGCGCCGACGGAGGCGCCGAGGCGCGAGCCGAGGCTCCCTAGCCTCGGAGGCGCCCACGAAGGCACCGACGCGCCGCGGACACTGCGGAATGCCATGGTTGCAGCGGCAACAAGCGAGGTTTCTGAGGTAGCACCGGTGCTAGTGCGTCGAGATCGTGCAATTCGAGCGCCGTCTTCAATTAGGCGGTTCAACTACTTGGCGATGCTGTTCAATATCAACTACAACTCCTTTCAAGCAGCCCCGCGCCGTCCAATCTCCACTGCTGGAGGTCGCCTTTCGGCGTCCGCGACGATGTACTACTACGTGTCCGCGCGGAAGGGCGCCGTCGTGCGCAAGGGCGTCGAGCTCCAGTCGTCCATCGCCGGCATCATCGAGCCCGGCACGCGCGTCGTCGCCGAACGCGAGGCGACGGCGAGCGACGGCACGCGGCGCGTCAAGGTGCGCACGGAGGACGTGGAAGGCTGGGTGTCGCTCCGAGTCCTCGACGTCGACAAAGAAGCGACCAAGTCCGCCGAGAAGCGCGAGACCGAGGACCGGGCGACGCGCGCGCGGCGAGTGAGAGCGGAGCGCGACGCGGGCGAGCTCTCCGCGTTTTGCGAGTCGTGCCGGCGCCTCGGCCACCGGGACCTCGACGCCCTCGCGCTCGCGGGCGCCCAGACCTTCACGAGCGCGGCGCAGCTGCTCCTCTTCTGGTTCGGCCGCCAGTTCTACAGCGGCCCGGGGAGCCCGTTCGCCGCGGCGGGCGATTATTTCCAAAACCGCATGCCGCTCTGGTTCGGCGGCGGCTCGCGCCTGTCGACGCTCTTCGACGCCGCGCAGCTCAACGCGGGGCCCCTCATCGACGCCGCGGCGTCGGGGGCGCTCGACGGCGACGCGCGCTGGGGTGGCCCCCGCGGCGCGTTGGCGAGGCTGCTCCTCCTCGACCAGTTCCCGCGCGTCGCCTACCGCGGCTCGCCGAAGGCCTTCGCCAACGACGGCGCGGCCTGCGCCCTCGCGGCGTCGATGACGCGCTTCGGCAAGGACGAGGCGTCGGGCCGCTGGTACGAGGAGACGCTGGCCCCGGGCAGTGCGGATTCCACCCACTGGTTTGGGGGGTCCCCACCAAACTTCAGAACTCTCTAGCTCGGTCAAATCGACGTCGATTCGGCTGATTTTTGGACGAATCGATTGCTCTTGTCGAGTTCTCGAAGCACGGCAGAAAGCCTCGCGTCGAAACCGTGGAATACGCGCACATTGAAGTCGGGTTGAAGATTTGGAATCCACACAGGCCCCGGGCGAGCGGTTCTGGGTCTGCCTCGCGCTGTCGCACAGCGAGGACGTCGGCCGCAACGCGTCGCACGTGGCCCTGGCCCGGGGCCTCTGCGAAGGGCCCCTCGTGCCCGCGAGCGCGCGCGACTTCTTCGAGCACCTGCCGGGCTTCCCGAACGAGCACCACGACTGCGTGCTGACGTTCGGCCGCTTCCCGCAGCGGAACAAGGTGCTGGGTCGCGCGTCCACGGCGGAGGAGGAGGCCTTCCTCGCGTCGCCGACGCGCCCGGCCTGGGCGGCGCCGCCGCGGGCCCACGCGGTGCTCTACTGGGCCGGCGGGCGGGGTTTAGCGGACCCGATCCGCTTCGTGCTCGCGCTGGCCATGCGGCCCCTCGTCGACGCGCCCATCGCGTCGAAGAACAAGTTCCACAAGTTCCGGGCGACGGGGGGGCTCCCCTTCGACGCCGTGCCCGTGCTCTTCGACGTCGACGCGGGCGACGCGCTCGACGCCGACGCCGTCTGCCGGCGTTTGGAGGCGGGCGACGCCGTCGCCGAGTCCGCGGCCATCTGCCAGCACCTCGCGCGGCGCTTCCACCTCGACGGCGCCGACGAGGCCGAGCGCACGGCCGCGGGCGCCGTCGCGTCGGCCGTCGCCGCCGCGCGCGGCGCGCTCGCGACCGCCAGGGCAGCAAAAGGGCGCGAAATTCCCAACTTCAAAGGCTCCTATCTCGGCCGTTTTCCACTCGTTTCGGCTGATTTTTGGACGAGCGATCATCTCTCGGAACGGTCTCGAAGCGTGGATGCTTTTTCCGGAACGCGCGCGCGCGGAAACACTCATGTTGAAGAGAACTTGAATCACCCTTTTGCTGCCCAGGTGACCGCGCGGTTCGGCGACGACCCGGACCAGGCGCTCGCGGCCTTCGCCCTGGGCCCCCTGAAGCGGCTCCTCGCGCGCCTCGAGCGGCTCCTGGGCCGCCGCGCGCGGCCGGCCTTCGTCGCCGGCGGGCCCACGCCGACGTACGCGGACGCCGTCGTCCTCGAGGTCCTCGAGTACGCGGCGGACGAGTGCGGCGCCGAGGACCTGGACCGCGTCGCGCCGGAGTTCCCGAAACTCTTCGCGTTGCGGGGCGCGCTCCGCGCGCTCGCGCCCTTCCGCGAGTACCTCCGGTCGCCCGCGCGCGCGCCGCCGCCGACGGACGCCTACGTCCGCATGGTCCGCGGCCGTGCCGAATTCAAACCTTCAACCCGACTTCAATGTGCGCGTATGCGGCCGTTTCGACGCGACCTCTTCGGCTTCGCTTCGAGAACTCGACGAGGGCAATCGATGCGTCCAAAAATCAGCCGAATCGACTTGGATGTGACCGAGATAGCGAGGTTTGAAGTTCTTGCTGGAGAGGGCGTTCCACTCGTTGATTTCCGGCACAGGTCTGCGGCATCCTGGGCCTCAAGATCCCGGACTACCTGCTCGACCCCTTCACGTCGTCCCTGGGGCTCCCCCTCGCGCCCGCGGCGGCCCGCGAGCTCGCCGCGAGCGTCGCGACCAAGGGCGTCGCGGAGCTCAGCCCGCGCGCGCGAAACGCGCTCGCGCTGCGCCGGCGCGAGCCGGAGCCCGAGCCCGCGCCGGAGCCGGAGACGCCGGACACGCCCGGGGCGCTCCCGGAGCCGGAGACGGCCTTCCCCGGCGCGGCGGCGCACCCGGAGCCGGAGCGCGAGCCGGAGGCCGCGGCCGCGCCGGCGCCGGAGCCCGCGGCCGCGCCGGCGCCGGAGGCCGCGGCTACGACGGCGCCGGAGGCCGCGGCCGCGCCGGAGCCGGAGCTCGACGACGTCACGGACGCGCCCGACGTGCCGGCGACGGCGCCGCGCGCGACGCCGCCGCGCCGGAACACCGCGTTCCCCTCCGCGGCGTCGCCGGGCTTCTCCGACGCCGGCGACGGCTCGCTCCCCCCCGGCGACGCGGCCGCCCCCGCCGACGCCAAGGGCAAGGGCTGCGCCCAGCAGTAGAGCCTTACTCGAAGCTGCAGAGGTGCTGGAAATTCGGGTAGCCCTCGGCGTAGAGCGGCGGCGCGTCCTCGGGCGGGCAGTAGTCGGGCCGGACGATCGGGCTCACGTCCGCGCCCTCCACGGTCACGTTGTAGTAGAACTCCATGTCGTAGTTCTGTTTCGAGAGGCCGTGGAAGACCTTGAAGCGGTGGGCCCGCGGCAGGCCCGTCTCGAGGTCCTCCCACCAGCAGATGTTGTCGTCGACCTCGCCGTCCTCGAACGCTCCACACCACTCCTTCGCTTCGCGCGCGACACCGTCGTCGTCGGTGATGTTCACGACGCCACTGTAGTTGTAGTACGTCGTCTTGATCCAGTCGCGCGGCGGCGCGCCGTGGCCTACGAAGCATGGCGATGAGCTATCGTCAAAGTCGCTCGGACGCCGGCCGCGGCCGTGGAAGATTTTGGCGCACTTCTTCTCCGCGGGGATCCAGCCCCACGTGGAGTAGTTTTCCAGGAGCACGAAGCACTCCGGGTCCGTGTGGTGCACGTAGAGCGCCTGGTCGGCGGCGTAGCGGTAGACGTTGTCGTGCGTGTTCGTCACGTTCGCGCTCAACGCCGCGTGGACCGTCGAGAACGCGCGCCAGGCCTCGGGCAGGAGCCGCGGCGACCCGGCCAGGTCCGGCGGGTTCGGCGGCGTGCCGTCGGGGACCTCGGTCGTGTGGCAGCCGCTGCAGGTCGTCATGGCCGCGACCCTGTCCCGGAGGCGGCCGGGCGCGAGCGGCGCGCCGCGCGCCGTCGGCAGCAGCGGCAGGGTCATCGCGCGCGCGACGTCGGCGCGCGCCCCCGCCGCGAGGTGGTGCGTGTAGATGGCGATGGCGTCGCGGAGCGCGTCGCGCGCCGCGGTGCTGGCTGCTGCGAGCGTTCGCTCCTCGGCGCGCGACGCGGCCCAGTCGGACGTGCGCAAAGCGCGCTTGTCGAAATTTTCGCGGTAAATGAGGTCCAAGGCGTCGTCGCGGACGGCGAGCAGCTCCCGGCGCATCGCGTCGAGGTCGCCGAGGTCGAGCGCGTCGCAGGGGACCGCGGCGTGGCCGTAGGCGTCGAGGAGGAAGCGGTTGAGGATCGTTGCCGCCATTGGCAGGTCCTCGCCGCGGTAGGACGCGCCGGGCACGCGCTGCCACGCGCGGCCGACGTCATCGGCGGCCAGCGCGGCGGCCGCCAGAAGCCAGCCCGCCATCACGACCGCCGGAAGCCAGCCCGCCATCGGACGAATCATCGTGCGCCTTCGGGTGGGTTCCTCAACGAAGGGGGCAACGGCGACCTCAACGGCGACCTCAAGTTACCCTTCGCGTCGCCAGAAACGCGTCGACGAGCGCGCGCGCGGCGTCGCGCGGCGTCGCGCGCGCGGCGTCGAGGTCCGCGCCGAGGACGCCGTCGAAGAGCGCCCGGACGTCGGCGTCGCGCTCGAACGCGTCGAGGAGGCTCCGCCGCGCGAGGTCCCACGTGGACGCCGCGCGCTGGCCCCGGCGCCGCGCGAGCAGCGGGCCGTCGAGGGCGGAGA